AGTGTTATGAACTGTGCACAGAGGCAAGATGTTGATAGTTCACGGCAATGAGACCCCTTAGTTCTCAGAAAGAACTGAAGGCAGATGAGATAAACGAACCCAGGGCTGTAGTGACATACGACACTTCCACATGTTGCCGCTGCAGGTCGTTACGGCACACCCAAGCTTCTCAGTTGTCGCCCATGCCATCTGCAAATCTCAGAAATTCTGAATATTCTCTGTCAAAAGGTACCCTTTTGAAACAAAAATTGAAATATCACTGTTCCGTGAACATTCCAAAAAAAGCTGACCCTAGTGAACCATTCAACGGCCGAGCCAGCATTGTACTGTGTGTAGGTGACGCGCTGTCCAATACCACCGGTCCACCTTATTTGTCTCCACCACTTTTTTACAGCCTTAATAGCCATTTTCTTCTCTAGGGTATGTTATCATCTTACGCATAATTTGTACTGACAAAAATTAGAGCGTCTGATTCAGACGAAGCTTGCGACTTCGAGAACAGACGGAAGTTCTCTTCTGTACCAGAAGGAAGAGACGGGTCTCGTGACTTGGAACACCGTTGCGCAGAACTCATGGCACTTTGTTCCAGCATGCAGTCGTATTCCTGAAAGTGATTACGTAATTGCAGCTAAGTTGAAGAAAGATGGCCCTACTGGGTAGAACTGAATCTCTGAAAAAAGACTTCTATTCACCAGGGACATCATGTTAGTTGCAGTCGGCAAATTTCTTCCAGCCTTATTTGCGACCTGTCCTCTTGCCAGCCTTGATCTAAAAGGGATACGATGTTCCAACAAACTTTTAGATGAGAGTTGCTCAACATGTTTGGCGAGCATTCAAGATACAGATCCATGCGCTTAAGGAATGCTTTACCTGCGATAATTGTGGGCAGATTTTGCCATTACTCTTGTAGAGTCGACCATTCCCGAATTACCTGGGCAGATCCGGTTGTTGGGCTCTGCAATGCCGTAAAACACCGTTAGAAGTTTGAGGCGCAATCTATTGAGAGAGATGGCGATTTACGTCACTCGCTGTGAGTGAGCTCTTCGATAGATCATGAGAATCCCAAATCTGGAGACCTATGCAAACTACATTTTAATACTGTTGTCAGAAACCTACGAGGAACAGGAGTTGTCGTAGTCGTAGCCTCAGTAGTTGTAGGAGGCAATGTTGTTGTCTCTATTGTTGTTGCATTGTCTGTGGTTGTATTGTTCGCTAGAACTACGGGGTTGTACACCTGAAAGAGTGCGTTTTGACAGCAGGCTGAGTCTTTTATCGAGGTAACACTCACCTCCATCAGAAGGAATAAACGTACAAGGATAAGCCCCAACATGATGAAATGATGCTCTTTAGACACCCCGCGCCTTTATAAAGACCAAATAGCCATGAACACTTCTATCATTCTTGTAAACTGAACAAAGTGTGAACGTTTATGGCACTACCAAATTTCAATTAACCTTGAAAAGCACAATAGCGCTGACATATTATCGAGGAGAGCAGCGTTATGGTTTTTGCTATTCAAGAGCAGGTCACGTAAGAACAGTCACGTTTATTAACACGTGGCGCGGAAGCCGAAATTTCAGAGAATGTTTTTACAGTAACGGCTGAGAAATGGAAGGAAATTGCCAGTTCTCAGCTCCTAATCAGTGTATGTGAGAGGAGAGTAAGACGAAAACACCACTGGTCAGTGACAAGAGGTGCTAAGAGCGTTACAAGGTTTGATAAGTATTAGAATGGGTATTGAGGTAAGTTTTCTCGAAAATTCGCAGCTCAGGTCCCAACAAAAGTAGGAAGTAACAAAAGTACGTTCCAATAAGTGATTGGAAGCATTTTTATATCAAGTCAATTGTTTCACTGAATTCTCCACTCAGTAGTCCTCAAAAGTTTGAATCGGAGTGGTAGAAAGTGGTATCATCTTCGTCAAGGCGTAGAGGGTTCCAAAAAGCACGAAGTCATTTTGAGGACCACTTGATCGCGGGGAGTGTCTTTAAGGCGTCACAGGTACTCATTTCAGGGAAGCTATCATTTATTCACTCGATGTTGACATTTGCCCCGAAATTCTGAGCCATGAGCCATCCCCTGCGAGTATATTATAATATTGATTGATTGGAAGCATTTTTATACCAAGTCAATTGTTTCACTGAATTCTCCACTCAGTAGTCCTCAAAAGTTTGAATCGGAGAAGCGAGATTCAATTCTTCGGGTTTTCTGAGTACTTGTATTGTCTAGGCAGAAATGATATCACTGACATCTCTCCGCTAATGTGTGGATCTGAACTAGTGGTTGGTGCAGCAATACGAGGGAACGAGAGAATCATTTCGAAGTAAAGGCTAATGTCCATTTTTTCGTGATATAGTGCTCCACGCGTAGCGAAGCTGAACGCAGCTGAGGAACTGCGCTGAACCACGGTGCCACCCCCGCCTCCCCCCCCCCTCCCGTGTACCCTCAATATCGCTCCATCCTGCTATCTCTTCCTCGTACTGAAGCAAAAGTTTGAACAAGAATCGAAATATCGAGTCTATAGAAAGTAGGCTTCTTCAACTATTAAAGACAATTCCCGCGATAAAGTGTTCGGGTAATTGGTGCCCAGTAACGAAGCAGTGGCCCATTTGTAACCCCCAGTGGAAAAAAACCTCGCGAACACCCTGAACACAGACCTCCCTTTAGCAGTGGGGGCGGGGCCTGGACGAGTGTGCCGGACGTGGCTGCCAGAAATCGATGCGGCAGCCGCAATTGCGTCCCGACTTTCGAAATAGGATACTTTAAAGGGACGGAAGCAGCTCGGGACCGGACGCCTCGTCCACCTACCGTGTCAGCGAGCCTAGCGAGCCTTGTGGAAATCGCTATAACTTCCTTATCGCGCCATATTGAGGGATGAAAGTGGTATCATCTTCGTCAAGGCGTAGAGGGTTCCAAAAAGCACGAAGTCATTTTGAGGACCACTTGATCGCGGGGAGTGTCTTTAAGGCGTCACAGGTACTCATTTTAGGGAAGCTATCATTTATTTCACTCGATGTTGACATTTGCCCCGAATTTCTGAGCCATGAGCCATCTCCCTACGAGTATATTATCAGCTAATACCGAATTCCCTGACAGTTGAACAAAATGACAAAAAACAAAGAGACGAACCTGACCATATGTCTCAAGAAGCAACAGAATGTTCGGTCACTGCGAGTGGCATAGGTGGCTTTCTTTTCCTTATCGGCACATGAAACCTTCGCGCAATCTTTCGGCAGTTGGCTGCCCAACAAGTTCATCTGCCCTAGGAAGTTTAGAATGGTCGACTACATCAGCATGCGAAGCAATTCAGAATCGTCACCCTTGTTCCCTATAAAGGCAGGGCATCCTGAAAAGCAATAGTATTCTTGAAGAGGGAGAGTCGCACAGGGATCGGTGAAGGACAAAGCTGGAAAAATTCACCGACAGCAACCAACATGAGTAGAAAGGTGCTCTGAGTTTTCCACATTGGTAAGAGATTTACGTCTCTCTGGACTGACTTTTCTGGTATTTTTACAAAATCATTTTGCAGGAATGCAGTTTACACTAGCAGCCAGCGCCGTGCAATCTGCGAAAAGATGTTCTTCCGTTAAAAGACTGGGCACCTACGGACGTACAAGAAAATCATAATCTGTTCAACAAGAAAAGCTCAATTGAAGTGGACGCCATCGTTGTTGCATGCTAAGCTAGCACTGGAGCGGTCAAATAGTAGAAGAAAGAACTGGATCTTTCGGGCTGTAAAGCAGCGGTGGAGCCAAATAAGAGAGGCTGGTGGCGTTGGACAATGATAGCGTTGGACAGCAATACAATGTTGGCTAACTCAGTGAATGTTCCTTCAGGGTCAGGTTTCTCGTAGAGCCCCCATGGACCAGTTCGCCTAGCATTTTTGTTTGGTAAGAGGTCGTATGTCGGTAGCAAAATGTCATAAAAATATTCAGGCTTATGAGTTTCCAAATGGCATGGGCATAACTCAAAAGCTATGAGCTGCCCTTGTGCCCTGCTACTTGTACTGGAATACTGCATATCAGTACGAGATTGGGCTCGCTATTCACTTTACAGCAGGTTGAACAATTGAACAACTTCTTCAAGTGACCTGGCTTCTCCTCGGGAATTTTCATAATTCATTCCAATGTGGCCATCGGGTTTATCTCCTCAGAAGCACTTGCATTTTTTTATGACTTTTTATGATGCTTCTATGTTCCGATCCAGACCAGTAACGGAGAATGTTTCACCATTTCGAGCTTCACTTTCACAGCATATATGGCGGGAAGAGTTGTTTCTGAATGCCATCAAGACACGTTTCTAACAACGGTAGACTGTGCCACTTCACTCCTACCTTTTGAACTTCACAAATAACCGCATTCCTTTTATGTGTTTTGTGTCAAAAAATAAAATTTTAACGCTAGGGCTCACCCTGCTCGAAAAACTGTTCACTAGGTTTGTTCGTTCCGATATGTTGGGTTGGCCCATAAGTAATGGCGTTTTTTCTTACACAAATTTTCACAAGAAAAGTGAGATTTGTTTCCAGTTATTCTATGCCTGATAAGCGGTTTCTTGCTTTACAAGGCAGCAGTGTTGCCATCATGCAGTTCATTGATTTTTATAGATTATTATTTCATTGAAATGCTTGATATTCGTGTTGATGCAGATGTGAGTCTTTGACAGCAATTTGCACTTAATATAGGCTCTCAAATTGCAGAAGCAGCTCAAAACTAGTGATGTGTGTGGCCAAGGAAAAGTGCCTCTTAGGATTGGTTGGAGTTTGTCCAAGCGATCAAGAGGTGAAAATTTAGACTCGTGAATGTGGACATCGCTAGGAGCGCCCTCTTGGTCACGAGCCGTTTAAAAATGAGGGAAGGCTCAGTGATGCTGTGTGGACATTCCATGGCCTGTTACGCCTCTTCATCCTTTGGCATCGTCTCCTTGAATGAATAGATGGGTAAGCTCTCAGTTGAACTCAGTAGGGCATCAGGATCGGTGAGTGTCCGCGAGGTAGGAGTTGGAACCTTTAAATCGCTTAGACTGAGATCTACAATGTATCGTTGATCGCTAGACATTTCATTAGATATGTGCAATGTTATGCTGGATCTTCAGTTCAAGAAGTTTACAACATCGGCAACCGCGTGCGAAGTAATTGCGAATTCCCCTCTTAATCTCTTTCTGTTCATTGTTTTCGTTTGCTGTTCTGGACGCAGTGCCACTTCTAGAGGCTGATAGTCGGTGTTGCAACAGTTGATAATGTTGCAATCACTTGAGGCGCTTTTATGAGGCTGGAATGAGCCAACGGAGGGCACAATGCCGACCGTTTTGAAATCGCGAGACCAACGATCAGGGCACATCGTTGTTGGGGAATCCCCAGTAGGGGGGGGGGTCGTATTTGGCCGCCAGGAGAGGGGGGTCGTATTTGGGCTGGGAAAATTTTTTATAGTTGATTTTTCTCGCTTCACGGACGTTGTAAAGGGGGGGGTCGTATTTACGTTTTGGCGTTGTAGGAGTGGTGGTTGACTTTTTGTGATTTTCCTGTTTCATGTGTACTATATGCCCCTCCCCCCTCCCCACTCGACAGCCAGGGCACATCGTTGGTTGGGGAATCCCCAACAGGGGGGTCGTATTTGGCCGCCAGGAGAGGGGGGGTCGTAATGAGTGCGGTAGCCAGTAACGAGCAGCGCAAAGGTGTCAGTGTGCTGAGTCCTGTACAGCGAAACTTGCTTTGTAGAGAACTCGGATATGTAAAAAAAATAGTACAAAACTTTCATTCATCAAACTAATCCGAAATAACTGGAAATATTAATAAGTCGACATCATCTCGTAAGTGACTCATACAACTCTGGTTCGCTGCGGATGATGGGGCGCGTCCGCGATCGCGCTTGGCGCTGAGCCAACCTGTTTTTTTTTTCGACAAACGACAGGACTACCATATC